ATTTTGACCGGGTCACAGATTCATTCAAGCCCAGACAATTCCACAAAGGGAAGAGAGGTGGAGCTGAGGGTGTGGCTGTAAGGCTGGGATCAACTGACGACACCCGGTCGAACTAGCTACAAGCTAACCTGAAGCTAACCCAAAGCTAATGCGGAGGTGGGAGCTAAGCTAACAGAGGTAGCAACCTAGCTACAACCGGAGTTAACTGTGCACAACACCAGAGCTTCTGAGTCAGAGATACGCCGGGCTGACCGCTGGGTAAAACCAGGTGGAACACAGAGGTCTCCCGAAAGCTGCTGAAAGCCGTCAGCCCACGCAGCAGTCAGAAGCCACGATCAGACAGAGATGCATCGAGCTGCGGGGAGAACGGGGTGGAAAACATCGGTCTCCCGAGAGCTCCACAAGCCGATAGTGGGAACCCAGCTCCACCAGCATGTTATATTTCAACCCATTTTCTAAAGTGCAGCATTATGTTAAATGCACTGGGTTTTACCCTATTACATTTAAATTTCATGGTTAAACAGTACATGTTAAAATCTAAGCTCAGCTCGGCAGTGACCTAAAATACATAAATATAATTTTACTTACCGAAAAAAATGAAGTGGAGACTCCTTGGACGCTCTATTAGTGCAATTAATGCCACAGCAAGTCATTTTGTCCAACAATTGCACAAAAAATATCCAAAACAGAATACACAAACACAGAGACTGAAAATGACCGAACAGTTTCCAGGCCAGACCGAGGCTCTACTGAGGCCTTTCCACGGAGCTAGCTCTGTGGTCACGTGGGTCTGATGCTCATTAATTATACAGAATTTTAGGCTTTTAATACACTTAAACAGAAGAGTGAGAAAAAAATTCACCCCCCTCAGAGTTGTCATGAGTGTAAACTAGATCATTTAAACCAAAAACATGTTCTGGTACCAGGCTGTAAACATGTTTATTTCTGCTGTGAAATTGGTATTTTTAACATGGGAGTCAATGAGGATTTGCTCGCTTCTGACACCAGCCCCCAGTGGATGAGGGTGGAACTGCAAATTATGGTACTTCCGGGTTGGCCTCAATTTTCGAGCCGCATTGTGGGGGCTTTCTGTCCGGGTGGGCAGGGCTTAGGTTTGGAGACAAGGAGCTGATGGGAAACACTCGAGGGTTTGATCTCAGATCCAACGCTCACAACGTCGACATTGTTCTAGTTTATGAAGCAGACCTCCCTCTTGTTCACCGGGCGTCTGTTTAATACTCGCTGTCTCCAACTTTGTCTGTCTTCCTTTTCTTCAGTCTGTTCTTCTGCTGATCACAAAAACTAACTGATGTTAGTGGAAACTCTGTTCGCTGTTTCAAACATGTAACCACAAACTATCTACCGTCTTCTGGCTGAAATAGTTTGGGACACTTCTTTAACACACGAGTTTTCATAAATGAGCCAAACGCACAGCCACACCCACGGATGCATTACCAAACAAGCATTGCGAAAGCCCCAGAGGGTTCGAGCTGACCCTGGTGCTGTCACAAATGAGTGGAAAAACCCACAAAGAGACAAAAAATTACTGCAAATACCACAAATCAACACAAGCTACACGAAAGGGAGAAAGAAAGGCTAAATATGCACACGAGCACTCAAAACAAACAGAGAGATGGCTGAAAAGACAATAAGTCAATGTGCCACAAAAACTTACAGAAGAAGAAATGCCCATAAGAAAACAATAAGACACAAATCTATCTGAGAAAGACAAACACCTCTCACTAAGATCAAGTGTGACAGAAGCTTTAATAAAAACACATCAAAAGAACAAAAAATACAAAAACATTCAAAATAACACACATTTCTACAAGTGTGAATAATGTAAAGCATAAAACACAAATAACCACCAAAACATGTTTAAAATACTAAACAAGCAGTAGAAATGGCTTCAGCAACAAAGGGATGATAACATTTCTTCAGAAACATGAAATACTAATCAGGCTTTTTCCACTGGATGCGTAAGCGATGTGTAATATCCGCAAAACGTAGAATGCAACAATTAGCTGAAGTCTTGGTGAATGGGTGCGTTTCCACCGGCTGTTTCCACTGGTTGCCCATGCAGTTCAGGATAAACTTCAAAATTATGCTTCTCCCTTACAAATCCTTGAACCATCAAGCTCCTCCATATCTGTGTGAACTGGTCCATTACTACAACCCGCCGCGTGCTCTCAGGTCTGAAGATAAGCTCCTCCTAGCTGTTCTGAATGCTCGTTTAAAAAGCCGTGGAGAGAGGGCTTTCTCTGTCTGTGCACCCAAGCTGTGGAACGCATTACCACTGCTAGTGAGGCTAGCACCAACAGCTAGCATTTTTAAATCACGCCTGAAAACTCACTTCAACCTAGCTTATACCACATAATTATGAACCTCACTTACATCTGCACTGTTTAAAAATGGACTCCACAATTATCAACTTCCGTACTATTGAGGTTCTTTTTTAAAATGTTTTTCTAATTTTTTATTCACCCTGTGTCTTGTTGATTTTTAGCTGTTATTTTTGGGAATTTTGTTGTATTTCCTTTTTATCTTTTATCTGTGTTCGACATGTTTGTATAACGCCGGTTTAATTAACCAACATTTTTAGTGTACAGCGCCTTGTTTGGTTGTAATGCCTTGTGAATGCGCTTTATAAATAAAATTGGATTGGATTGGATTGGATTGTTTAAGTGTTACATTTTGGAAGCACCCCAGAAGCATGGGTTGGTTACACTTTCAATTCAATTTTATTTATATAGCGCCAAATCACGACAAGAGTCGTCTCAAGGCACTTCACATAATAAACATTCCAATACAGGTCAGTTCATTAAGCCAATCAGAAATAATGTTTCCTATATAAGGAACTCAGCAGGTTGCATCGAGTCACTGACTAGTGTCAGCGACATTTTATTATTGGACTAACACTTTGTCTGATTAGCTTTATTAAAAATAGAGTTCTTCTGATTTATTAAAAGAAAGAGTCCTTTGTCTTCATTCTTCTCTTGAGCTGGAAAATAAGAAACAGTTCAAAAGCAGAGCATGAGACCTTGAGCCATATCTCATGCAGATTAGTTCTTGTTTGAAACTTCAGGTTTGCTTTGAGCGGAGCAAAACAGAGCAGGGTCTTTTAGGTCAGGAATGGACAATTCATCACGCTACAAAGTACTTCATTGGAAAACAAAGATAGTACCGGTAAACTATTTTTCCTTCCTCCTAAAGTCCACCCAAACCGACAAGCTGGTGGCTATTGCCCAGTACACCTACGATGCACTGGGAAAACGCATCCGCCTCAAAGAGTTCAGGACCTATGACAACAGAACCTTCTTTGACTTGGATATTCTACTCCTCTACAGACAAGTAATACCAGAACATTTCTGTTGATCATGGACAGAAGGACTGTTGGTTTCTAAAGCCATTCTGTCCTGCAGGGTGTCATGTACAAGATCAACAAAAAGAACCACACGTGTTTCAAGAGGAGTCTGACTGAAGACTTCTACCCACTGGGGGTTCCTAAAGATGCCTCCCTAGTGGACCAGTTTGTGCTCGGCAGTTCTTCTGCTCTAGAAGAGGGAATCCTGGTCAACACCTGGACTGGGGAGCTGCAGCTGAAGAAGGGAACAGGTTCGCTGTCATGTGCTTTGAACGTGGCGCGTGACTCTTTGGGTGAACTTGTTTCCTGTTTTTCTGGTTGGGAAGTTTCCAACGTGTGATTTGTTTTTGTGCCTGCAGCAAGGTATTTGAGCACCGTCACCGAGTTCGGATGTATACCCGTCAGCACCCTGTTAAGTACAAACAGAAGAGAATGGGTGGCGGTCAGGTCAGTGCAAATAAAAAATAAACACAGAACCATAACACTTACAGAAATGTCACCAGCAGGTAGCTAAAAGTGTGCACGTTGACTCATTGAAAAACGGTTCTGATCCTAAAGAATGTTTAGATGATGTTCTGAAGTGTACAAACTTAGTGTTACCCTGGAATAAAAAAAAAGACCTTTATAATAATCTAAAACTAAAAGAATACTATGATCAGCGCAAGTGTTAAAGGATGGCGTGGTATGGGGGCCAAAATCAAGACTACTGCCCAGCAGCAGGAGGCTAAATGAATTCTGAAGCAAACTACTGATCTGATTAATGATAAGCTGGCGCCGGTAACTGAGAAGAAGAAGAAGAAGAAAAGAAAAAAATATAATTTCTATAGCACCTCTCAAGATAAAAATCACGAGGCGCTTAAGTGAGAGGCTGGTGCTGCTTACTGAGGAATAGCACCTTTACCGGTGTTACTACTAGATACGCTAGGGACTAGCAGCCCTCGGCTGGTCATTGACTGGTTCAAACACTCCCTCTGCTGTCTATAGGCTAGCGTTAGCCTGGACGGGCTGGTGTTAGCATTGGAAAGGCTAGCCAGTAGCGTGCCTAGGCTGGCCACTAGCTGGATTTCCTACCTCCTCGACGGACCATTAGCATGGAGAGGCTGGCATTAGCATCGGAGAGGCTACCGTCCAGGCTAACGCTAGCCTATCCATGCTAATAGACAGCAGAGGGAGTGTCTGAACCAGTCAATGACCAGCCGAGGGCTGCTAGTCCCTAGCGTATCTAGTAATAATGCTGGTAAACGTGCTATTCCTCAGTAAGCAGCGCCAGCCTCTCAGTTACCGGCGCCAGCTTATCATTAATCAGGTCGGTAGTTTGCTTCAGAATTCATATAGCCTCCTGCTGCTGGGCAGTAGTCTTAATTTTGGCCCCCATACCGCACCATATTAAAGCGGCTAACAGTAAATCATTAGGGTCATCTCAGTAACCACCAGTGGCTCATTTGGGTCACTATAGTTTCCACCTGTGTCTACACTTCTTGACAGCAACCCCACTATAAACACCGCTGGGTGGAAAGTAGAAGTCACTATGAGAAGAAAGACTTTAATGGAGAGCAACAGAGGGCTTTGATTGTCACATATGTTCATTTTCATGTTACTGCATTGTTATAAGTAGGAGATATGAAAAGTTAATCAGTTCATACCAAAGACTTTAAAAATGGGACCCAACGCCTCCCTGCTTGACACTCAGCATTGAGGGGTTGGATTGGGGGTTAAACCACCGAATAGCGCAGCCACTGCTGCAGCTCACCAATCCCTACGGGGACGGGTCAAATGCAGAGATGTTATTTCACCAGTGTGTGATGGTGACTAATGGAAATTTTACTTTAAAGATGAGGTTCACAGAGACACATATAATGCTTCTTCCATTTGAAATATGATCAGTCACTGAGTTTCACATGCAGGCTGAATGTGAAAATGGTCATCAACACCTAATTTCCTGCATTAGCGGCTGATAGAAAATAGACAGGGAACGGCTTGGATAAAAGCCACACAGATCTATGTCACACTGCTAAATTTCCATTCACAGACTCACTCATCTTGGCTGTTAACTGGGAAGTCTGTTATTGATTCAGTATCCACAAAAAGCAGAGCATGTCTCAGCGAGTAGATGCTAACCGTTAGCAATAGCAACACCACAACAGAGCCAAACTCTTTCAGGTTTGTGGTATTCGAGGAGATTTAAAAAATGAATGTTGCAGAACGAGTAGAAGAAGCTGGAGTGTTGTGTTGCTGTTAGCCAATCAGAGGTGAGATGTTTGAATAACCTGAAACAAGAGTGCAAAGGCTTTTTCCACATACACAGCTCAACAGTGTGACATCATCAACTATCTGTTCTGAGGAAATTATTTGGAAATGCAAATCAAAAATCTTAATTAGTGATTTAAAAAAAGCTGCAATAAATTACAACACTTAAACAGTTCAGTCATGTCAAAGTTCCTGTGACCCAGTGGATTCAAAAGGGCTTCATCATCAAAATCCTAGTATCTGAGGAGAAATTATTTGTTTTTTCACAAGCTTTTTTATCTGTGAAAAACAGTAGATTCTGATGTGTTATTTGTAAAATAAACATTTCTAAATATTAATGTGTCCCAAATATGACTTTAAATACTTTTTTAGTACCACATCGGAGACATTATGACTTCAGTCATGACTTAAATGTACAAATACATGTTTTCCTTTCAGGATCCACTCTCTGAGCCTGATTCATGACGGAGAAATGAATCATGTCTCGTCTCATCGTTTTGTTTTTCAGCTTCTTTAACAACGTAGTGGGAGTGGCAGACCCGCGGGACTTTGTTGCTCCGTCGTTCTGTGATGAGGCCCAGGTGGAGGAAGAGAAAGAAGAAATTGAAGCAACATTTTTCAGCTTGTTTTGAAACGCAAGACTTTTTCCAGAAATGTGTTGATGATTCAGCGATAAACGTTTCCTTTTAATCAGCAGTAATGGTGAACTGATGTTTATGGATATGAGTGGAATTAAAACGGACTAAAACACCAGATTTTCCATTTCATTTTATTTAGGCAACAACGTTCTTGTAAAATCAGATGAACACTGGGATTTAAGCAACTTGTATTTTTTTTCATATGGAGATTAATTGACTTATTTCATAATATTGACCTGAATGTCAGAGCCAGATTAACACTTTGTGGCAGCAATATTCAAGGGCCCCATCATCACGGCCCAAGGATCACCGTAATACGGTCATTTACAGAATATTTTACTGTAATATGCAGTAAATACACTCAATTCATGAAATTGTAACTGTCATCGGGTTTATTTTGATAAAAAAATATTTAAATGCTCATATACTACAAATGCACTACTATGTCCCCTATCAAAGACACCCACTCACATATGATGCTATGGGGAAAAAAAAACATCAGCATCTGTATAATCTGGTAAAAGTGACCCATTATATTGGGTCAAAATCAATAAATGAGCAACCGCTTTGAAACCATCATTTATTTAACAACACTTATTCCCAATAGAAATGGACTGAATTGATGGAGCTATCACAGAAGACCACAGAGAACACATCAAGAAACATTTTGGTCCTCGGCTCATTTTAAGCAGAAATCACTCTGACATGGCGACCCAATCAAGTTAGTCCAGCACAAACCATTTAAATCTACCAGTTATCCTTCCACAACAATTTACAGCATTTTCATAAAGCTGGCACCTCAAGGAAAACATAAATACAATGCAGTGTCACTATTTTCTGCTCATAAACATTTTGATCCTACGCTCATTTTATCTTGTTTTAAAATGGAACAACAACATGTCACAGCACAAATGACTAGTTAAACATTTTAGTGCAACATAAACATCTAGAAATCTGGACGTGGACTGTGGAAACTGTGTATAACATTTTCAAAATCAAGGCCACTAACAAGTTCATGTTCAATGGCTATGAGAGAAAGTGCAGAGAGCCGAGTCTGTGACATTGTGGTCGTCGTCTTCCTCCGCTTATCCGGGTCCGGGTCGCGGGGGCAGCATCCCAACTAGGGAGCTCCAGACCGTCCTCTCCCCGGCCACCTCCACCAGCTCCTCCGGCAGGACCCCAAGGCGTTCCCGGAGCAGATTGGAGATGTAACCTCTCCAACGTGTCCTGGGTCGACCCGAGGGCCTCCTGCCGGCAGGACATGCCCGAAACACCTCCCCAGGGAGGCGTCCAGGAGGCATCCTGGCCAGATGCCCAAACCACCTCAACTGACTCCTTTTGATCCAGAGGAGAAGCGGTTCTACTCCGAGTCCCTCCCAATTGTCCGAGCTCCTCACCCTATCTCTAAGGCTGAGCCCGGCCACCCTACGGAGGAGACTCATTTCGGCCGCTTGTATCCGCGATCTCGTTCTTTCGGTCATTACCCAAAGCTCATGACCATAGGTGAGGATTGGGACGTAGATCGACCGGTAAATCGAGAGCCTGGCTTTCTGGCTCAGCTCCCTCTTCACCACGACAGATCGACTCAGCGTCCGCATCACTGCAGACGCCGAACCAATCCGCCTGTCGATCTCCCGATCCCTCCTGCCCTCACTCGTGAACAAGACCCCGAGATACTTAAACTCCTCCACTTGAGGTAGGACCTCTCCCCCGACCCGGAGTTGGCAAGCCACCCTTTTCCGGTTGTTTCCATTGTGGTCCTCAGCTCATTTTAACCCGTTTGAAAACAGAAAACGACCTCTCGCCCTCACAGTTAGACACAGTTAAAAACAATCTTAGTGCAACATAAACATTCGGAAATTTTGCTTTAAGTCCATGTCTGTCAAGAGCTTGCAGCAGCTCTACAGGTGAAGTCTCGTGCTGCACAAAGTGTCGGATAAGTCGAGCTCAGCTTAGCAGCTCTTACACGCACATCACAATCATCACAGTCCCTCTCAAATAAAACCCCCGAGAGGTCACACACACACGTGTGTGTAGGCTTCTATGTGCTTGGATAGGCATGAATAGTAGTGATGTGTCGGTCGCGAACAAACCGGCTCTAAGAGCCGGCTCTTTGAAGTGAACGACGGGAGCCGGCTCGTCATTGGGAGCCGTCCCCTCCCCTCCCCCCTCCCCCCTTGCCTTAGTAAAAGCTACAGGCGATTGGTCAACATGTGTAACTGTGTGTCCAGACTGTCCACACACAGAGCAGTAGGGGCGGGGAAGTGGGAGGATCAGACTCAGACACACAGCAGAGCACACGCGGGCGGAGGGAGACGAGAGGGAATGAGGGAGGAAAAAGGCGAGCGAGAGAGAGGAGAGTGCGACGAAGACGGTGGGAAAATGAGCGCCAGCGGTCGGAAAGTGGAGATTTCTTAAAGTGTTCAGTTATTAAATCCATAGAAATGATAAATATTTGATATATTGCATTTTTTTACATTAGTAAATCATTTTACATGTAGTTTTGCATTATTTTAGTTACAAATGTACTCTACGCAACAGAAAATCTGAGGAGCCACTTGGGAGCCGAAAGAGCCGGAATTCCCATCACTAATGAATAAAGTCTGTCAATGATGATGTAATATTCTTCTACTTTAAATTTCTATCTGCTCTCATTAAAAGCTACTTCGCTGTCATCAGCAGATCCGTCTGCAGGTCTCTTTTTTTTCTCACACGTTGAGTGTGGAACTGGTAGTTTTGTGTCACGCTGACCGTGCGTGCTGACTCTTCCAGCTCTGAAGATGCCTGGGGTTCAACACCCTTCTCGCTGTCTTTTAGCGACTCTACCTGGCCCAGTTATGTTGGGCTACGTCAGCTATTCTGTCGGGGCTTTTGAGAGGGCACCTTTAAGGTGTTTTCAGTGCCAGAAATTCGGTCATGTGGCGGGAGTCTGCGTGGGGGTTAGGAGGTGTGGGGGCGACCATGATGGCCTCCAAGGTGAAGAGGCCCTCTGATGTTTCAATTGTGGGTGCAGTCACCAGGCTACTTTTAGGGGTTGTGCGTTTTATTGAGAGGCGGTGGCTGTTGAGGCCTATCAGTCGGATCGAAAGGTTTCACACGCTGAGGCGGCACGTTTGTGGCCCCCTTAGAACGAACACGTTCTTCTTTGTATTTTTGCATCTTTTATTAACAGAAATGCCCCTGGTTCAGAACTCAAGCATAGGTTTTTTTTCTCTCTTCAATGAATCGTACCACATTCTCTTAAAGGGCCAGTCCCACATTTCTTCTTCTCTTAAAGGGCCAGTCCCACATTTCTTCTTCTCTTAAAGGGCCAGTCCCACATTTCTTCTTCTCTTAAAGGGCCAGTCCGACACTTCTTCTTCTCTTAAAGGGCCAGTCCCACATTTCTTCTTCTCTTAAAGGGCCAGTCCCACACTTCTTCTTCTCTTAAAGGGCCAGTCCCACACTTCTTCTTCTCTTAAAGGGCCAGTCCCACACTTCTTCTTCTCTTAAAGGGCCAGTCCGACACTTCTTCTTCTCTTAAAGGGCCAGTCCCACATTTCTTCTTCTCTTAAAGGGCCAGTCCCACACTTCTTCTTCTCTTAAAGGGCCAGTCCCACACTTCTTCTTCTCTTAAAGGGCCAGTCCCACACTTCTTCTTCTCTTAAAGGGCCAGTCCCACATTTCTTCTTTTCTTAAAGGGCCAGTCCGACACTTCTTCTTCTCTTAAAGGGCCAGTCCGACACTTCTTCTTCTCTTAAAGGGCCAGTCCCACACTTCTTCTTCTCTTAAAGGGCCAGTCCCACATTTCTTCTTCTCTTAAAGGGCCAGCCCCATATTTCTTCTTCTCTTAAAGGGCCAGCCCCACATTTCTTCTTCTCTTAAAGGGCCAGTCCCACATTTCTTCTTCTCTTAAAGGGCCAGTCCCACATTTCTTCTTCTCTTAAAGGGCCAGTCCCACATTTCTTCTTCTCTTAAAGGGCCAGTCCGACACTTCTTCTTCTCTTAAAGGGCCAGTCCCACATTTCTTCTTCTCTTAAAGGGCCAGTCCCACACTTCTTCTTCTCTTAAAGGGCCAGTCCCACACTTCTTCTTCTCTTAAAGGGCCAGTCCCACACTTCTTCTTCTCTTAAAGGGCCAGTCCGACACTTCTTCTTCTCTTAAAGGGCCAGTCCCACATTTCTTCTTCTCTTAAAGGGCCAGTCCCACACTTCTTCTTCTCTTAAAGGGCCAGTCCCATACTTCTTCTTCTCTTAAAGGGCCAGTCCCACACTTCTTCTTCTCTTAAAGGGCCAGTCCCACATTTCTTCTTTTCTTAAAGGGCCAGTCCGACACTTCTTCTTCTCTTAAAGGGCCAGTCCCACATTTCTTCTTCTCTTAAAGGGCCAGTCCGACACTTCTTCTTCTCTTAAAGGGCCAGTCCCACACTTCTTCTTCTCTTAAAGGGCCAGTCCCACATTTCTTCTTCTCTTAAAGGGCCAGTCCCACACTTCTTCTTCTCTTAAAGGGCCAGTCCCACATTTCTTCTTCTCTTAAAGGGCCAGTCCCACATTTCTTCTTTTCTTAAAGGGCCAGTCCCACATTTCTTCTTTTCTTAAAGGGCCAGTCCCACACTTCTTCTTCTCTTAAAGGGCCAGTCCCACACTTCTTCTTCTCTTAAAGGGCCAGTCCCACACTTCTTCTTCTCTTAAAGGGCCAGTCCCACACTTCTTCTTTTCTTAAAGGGCCAGTTCCACACTTCTTCTTCTCTTAAAGGGCCAGTCCCACACTTCTTCTTCTCTTAAAGGGCCAGTCCCACACTTCTTCTTTTCTTAAAGGGCCAGTCCCACACTTCTTCTTCTCTTAAAGGGCCAGTCCCACATTTCTTCTTCTCTTAAAGGGCCAGTCCGACACTTCTTCTTCTCTTAAAGGGCCAGTCCCACATTTCTTCTTCTCTTAAAGGGCCAGTCCCACACTTCTTCTTCTCTTAAAGGGCCAGTCCCACACTTCTTCTTCTCTTAAAGGGCCAGTCCCACACTTCTTCTTCTCTTAAAGGGCCAGTCCCACACTTCTTCTTTTCTTAAAGGGCCAGTCCCACACTTCTTCTTCTCTTAAAGGGCCAGTCCCACACTTCTTCTTCTCTTAAAGGGCCAGTCCCACACTTCTTCTTCTCTTAAAGGGCCAGTCCCACATTTCTTCTTCTCTTAAAGGGCCAGTCCCACATTTCTTCTTCTCTTAAAGGGCCAGTCCCACATTTCTTCTTTTCTTAAAGGGCCAGTCCCACACTTCTTCTTCTCTTAAAGGGCCAGTCCCACACTTCTTCTTCTCTTAAAGGGCCAGTCCCAAACTTCTTCTTCTCTTAAAGGGCCAGTCCCACACTTCTTCTTCTCTTAAAGGGCCAGTCCCACATTTCTTCTTCTCTTAAAGGGCCAGTCCCACACTTCTTCTTCTCTTAAAGGGCCAGTCCCACACTTCTTCTTCTCTTAAAGGGCCAGTCCCACACTTCTTCTTCTCTTAAAGGGCCAGCCCCACACTTCTTCTTCTCTTAAAGGGCCAGTCCCACACTTCTTCTTCTCTTAAAGGGCCAGTCCCACACTTCTTCTTCTCTTAAAGGGCCAGTCCCACACTTCTTCTTCTCTTAAAGGGCCAGTCCGACAGTTTCCTTTCTGTTTACGTAACATCAGTGAGCATTATGGATAACATTTTAACTGATAACATAATAGATTAACTAATATTTATATATACATGTCCTGAGACCTATATTGTTCAAAATGTTATGAAATAAACAGAATAATGAAATAAACAGAATATATGGAACATGTGCAACACCCTCCCCCACTAAAAAAACAAAATGTTAATCCAACACTTTCTTTTAGTACTACCTGTAGACATACAACTACCATCTTAATGATTTTACACTAGGTTTTTCCAGTTCATCATAGGTAAGGATACTGTGTGTGTGTGTGTGTGTGTGTGTGTGTGTGTGTGTGTGTGTGTGTGTGTGTGGTTGCGCGCGCATATGTCTGCAGAACTTGTTTATAAGCAAGTGAGCCGTGAATTCTCTCTCAGGACAGTCAGACTGCCGTCCGTCACCATGAAAGCTGTCATCCTGCTTGCGTGTTTTTCGGTGTGCTGCTCGGCTCTGAGGCCTCGGCCATGCGGTGAGTACTCAAGACGTGACTTTTTGCTGGAATCTCCTAAAAGTGTTCATAACAAACTTCATTTTCTTTAACCCCGACAGTTTCTCCACCTCTGCTGACTGGTGACCTCTCTTTGGTAAACCTCTTCACTTCTTCCTTTAAAAGTTGTCAGCTGGACTGTTTTTATTACAAAATAATCTCGTTTAGAATGATGTGATTACATATAAATTTATTTTATTTAAAGACCTCCCAGGATGGGAAGCTGACTGCATTTGCTAAATACTCCTACGATGCACTGGGACAGCGTGTGCGCCTGAGGGAGGGTGGATCCTACGACAATGAAACATTCCACTTTGATGCTCTCCTGCTCTACAAATACGTAAGGACAACTGAAATCAGACACTCGTGTTGCCGTGAAGCGCTGATTTTAAAGTAAATCATCCAAAACTCACAGCTAAATTTTAGACTGAAGCAAATATGAAAAATAGGAATAAATCCACTTTGTTATTAGTCTGCAAAGCAAAATCTGTTTGCTGCTGCAATGGTTGATCTAGGCTAGGTTTTCATCACATTTATAGAAAATTTTACATCTACAGGCTTCATCAAAAATTCTAATAATTTAAAACTTTTAGAACCAAACCTAAATTGCACGAGCTTCGTTTAAACGGGACAATAAAATGGGACAAGTTTAAAATAAATATTTAGGTAACATGTAAATTCAGACAAGATAAGTAGCGTGCCAACCCAAAAGCAGGGTTAGGAGATTCCCTAAAACATCTTAGATTGTACGAGTGTGTCAGTGACTTGGTTCTTCGTGAAACATTAAAAAATGATTTGTGGTTAAACAGACTCACACAATCTTACCGTCAAAACGACACCGAGATAAAGGATTTCCTCACCCCATGACAGGCTGCAACCAGTTTACAGTCTGCAGCGACCTGCATTAGCATTTAAACTACACATATGGTTAAAACTGCCATGTTTGTACGTAGATTTCCATATTTAGATGTGACATTACACCTATATTTGATTTGGACACATTAAATAGGCGATTTCTTAACTCAGTTTAATGTTGATAGGCTGCATTTGTTTCACAGCGCTAACTACATTTCATCCCATCCTGTAGCGTGTCGTGTACATGATCAACGACAGGAACCACACATGCAGCAAGAAACGCCTGGACACCCACTTTCACCCACTGATGGTTCCCAGGAACTCTTCTCTGCTGGGTCAGGTCGTGCTGGGTAGCTCCTCCGGTCCCGGACAGGGGCTGCTGGTCAACACGTGGGTCGGAGAGTTGCACATGAGGAACGGCACAGGTGCAGTAAAAACAAATGAAAGGTTTAAACAGCAAAATCGTTCAGCGTGATGAAGCGCGTGATTCTCTTTTGCCATCGCTGGACCTGCGTGTCAAGTTTGACCGGTTATGGATTCCTCCAACGTGTGACCTGTTTGTGTTTCTGCAGCAAAGTACATGAGCACCGTCACCGAGTTCGGCTGTATTCCTGTCACCACCCTGTTCCACACTGAGGAACGTGGATGGGTGGTAAGCAGGTCAGTGCAAAACTTTTATAAAGTATTCCTGTTTGCGACATAATTCTAGTTTCTGATATGACTCAGCGTTTACATTCTCTCTGATGTAGGCATCACATGTTTTAGTTATGAGTTTATTCATCAGAACAAAGTGGATCAAATGGAGCGACAGCCAGGTCCAAAAATAAAAGGATACATCCTGTTACGTATACAAAAGGGTCCATTTTCACCGTCTAATTGACCACAGTGTAACCTTTCAACCACAGACCCAGTATCTATCTGGCCTCCAAATCCAGAAGGTTCTGCTCAGTGCTTGTTTACATTCAGACAGACACACTCAGCCAAGGACTGCTGATTCCTCACCATAAATAACAAGTGAACCTTCTCGAAGACTACACGACTTTACAGCTCATAATCTTAAATGATCACATGTGATGAATGAACAAGGTGTTTAAATCAAATGTTTGAATAATCTGAGCTTGAACCAATAATGGCTTTCAAATGAATATTGCTCTTGATACACTTCAGATCTTATGATCGGTGTGTGTTGATTTAACAAGTTAATCATTCACAGAGTGTTAAAAACCTTTTGTACACGAACAAGGCGTGTCTTCTCAGGGATGTTGGGTAAAGTGCTCGAAACGTGTCAAATTCTGATTTGCCAAACTTGCCCAAAACTCATAACATCGTGGTTTATTAAAACAAGAATTACTTCCCGATTAATTCAGTTTCCAGCTGACTCCCGAGTCGGACAAATCGGGAAAGAAGCCTCTTTTGAAACCATCTTTTTGACCTTCAGTCAAAGCCTCTGCGACGCTGCAAGTGGTTACAGACAAGCAGCTCTTTTAGGAGCTACTTCACGCCTCAAACATCTACCTTAGACGATGTTTGAGGACGATGGACGGTTCCACTACAATCCTCAGCGAAACATATGCTGTCATGTTGTTGCAACCCTTCTGTTGTGACTTTTAACCTTTAACCTGCCTGCTGAACTTTGGTGTGACCTTGCAGAGACATCAGCTATCTGACCTTCGTCTCAGGTCTTTACCTCTTGTGTAAACACATGCCTGTATGCTCCGAAGCAACAAGCTCCTGATTTTTACAGGAGCTCAGACTGATGATGATCCGCTAGTATGACCAGCAGAACTCAGTATTTCGGATACTAAGGAAGCATGCAAGGATCTGGTGGCTAAATAAAGACACGCTAGCATGACGCTGTCTCTCTTAGGCTGCATTCATCTCATAGAGGACCTAGTGGTGATCAGGTATTTTAAAATGTTTGATGCATGAATCCGTAAACGTAAAAATTAATGTAATGATTTAATTTACATCTATTTAATGAACCATAAGACGTAAGATTACATAGTAAATATGAAATCAATCTTATGGATCTTTGAGTACTTTTAACCAGAAGATTGGAGCTTTTTATTGCAGGGATTATGTAACACTTCGTATTAACTGAGAGACAAGTGAAGAGAGAGTCACCTTTAAAACGTTTAAGAAGATTTATTTCTAAACAATTTTAAACAAGACTAACTCTAAACTCTAAGTGATGAATGGATCTTGGTGTGAATGAGACATGAGATGGATGGTGTATGTGTGAGTGATGTTAATCAGAACTCTCGTATCCGGAGAAGCAAGTCTGAATGATGTTGTGATGGTTTGCTCTTAAGCTATGATCAGAGTTTGATTATAAACACATGAGACGCCATTTTGTCGCTCTACACATACCCTTGATGAGACCTCCGTACAGATCCAGAATGCCAGGTCCTCGGACCCCCCTTTCGGTACCGGAGCCGATGAAACAGTGTCAGCAGTACGACAGACTACTCTTTGGATTGTCTCCAGGTAAAAAGCGACAGTTGGTTGACAGCGTCAGATGGACCTGGAGGGTCAGTGAGTTCAGCTTTTATTCTGAAAGGAACTGTTGCTTGGTTGGTAAAATGCAACAGATTTTATCCAGCTTGTCGTTGGTTCTAGGAAGTCCGGGTGGCCGGTCCGATACTTCTCTTAGAATGCGGTGAACTGGCTTAAGATGGCGTGGGGACTGGTTTTATCAATCTGGATGTTTTGATTTCTGGTCGAATCAAAGTTGGCAGATTTATAAACACCACAGAGACTATGACACGCTTCAGAAAGGAAGGTTCCGACTGGATGAGTAAAAGCAGTGTGTCATGCGTTTACATTACGTGTCATCAGCATGTCTAGTGCAGCTAGATTAAAGTCAAATTACTTATTAAAACTTACTAATCATAACATTGTCATTTCACAGATTGGTCCACATTATTATTGGACTAGCACTTTGTTTGATTAGCTTTATTAAAAATAGAGTTCTTTGATTTACTAAAAAGAAAGAGTCTTTTGTCTTCAGTCTTCTCTTAAGCTGGAAAGGAAGCAGTTTAGAAGCAGATGCATGAGACCTTGAGGCTTGAGGGGGGGGGGGGGGGGGGGAATGGCTTTTAGGTGGAAAACGGTCATTTCATTCTGTTACATATATATTCTGTTGTTTCCACAAGTACCAGCTTCCTGTTTACTAAATTGAGACAATCTGTAATTTATCTTTCAGTTGGCAAGAGAAGTAAAAGCCATGTAAACACAGAAGGAAACGGTTGAATCCATCCTTTGGTACATTTTGTAATATCTCTGATTTCTTCTTTCCAGCTTCTTCAACAACGTCGTAGGAATAACCGACCCTGACCTCTTGATCCCACCGTCTTTCTGTAAAAATGCAGAACTTGAGAATGAAGAGGAGACAGTCACCTTCTTTAGCTTGTTTTAAAAGATTGTCCTCAGAAATCTGGTGCAATGTGATGAGCACTGAACATGAATCTTTGCACTAAATCATCACTTAAAATAAGCTGTAAGCTGGATAAATCAGTAAATAATCATTTAGAGTTCATTTCCCTTCTGCTGCTGCTGATTGAAGCTAAATGTTCTTTATTGTTTTCCTGTCACTGAAACAATAAAAAAAAAGTTAACAGGAATTTAAAAAAGTTCTGGATCATTAGTTTAAGGTTAGAAGTTTAGTTTAAAACATCCTAAAAAGACAAACAGCCTGTTCACTGATTGATGGCAGAATAATTTAAAATGCGTCCTTTTTCTTCTCAGTGTTTTTTTTTTTATCTCTGGCTTTATTCCTGACTAAATACACAGAAACTGATCAGTTTCTCTCATCCTCTTATCTGAAATAAGTCCAGAGAGACAAAGGGCGTTTCTCAATCAGTGCGTTTACATGCAGCCAGTAACCCTTTTAAAACCCGAATATTCACAATAACCCGGTTCCGCAGGTCCTTGTAAACACCGCCAAAAACCCGGATATGCTCATACCCGGGTTTTTAAAAACCCGGTTACTACACCTGGGGTAACCCTTTTCTAACCCGAATGTTTGGTCGTGTAAACGCATACCGGGATATCCCCATCAAAGCGTGTGTTCTGCGCATGCTCTGTTCGCAAGGAATCTTGGTCTTTTGAGTAGCGAGACGTCTTGTATGCGCCAGAACACCAGAAGTAAACAACAAGTTGGGAGCAACATGGCAAGTCGCGGCACAGCACCACACTTTTGGAGTGACGAGGAAACTAAAGCGCAAACAAACGCGGTCGCTATCTCTTCCGAACTGGGAAACATGTTGTTGTTTTCACGGATACCGGAACAAGAAGAACCGGAAATGACGCATATTGCGTCTGGACGTAGTCCATACGTCCTGACGCTACCCCAACGTCCGCATTTAAATCGGGTTATGCAAGTTAGGGGTAACTCTTTCTATTTATGCTTGTAAACGGGTTATTCTGATCAACTCAGAAACCCGAATACCGACCTTAACCCGATCATAACCCGGATATTGGCTGCATGTAAACGTACTCATAGTCAAGGAACCTTGCTTTGATGTCTTGGCCCCGCCCCGGTTGCCTAGGAGATATGTCATCAGGAGCCGCTGTGACATCCAGCAATGGTCAGTTTTTAGGTACAGTTTGACCATTCAACATCTGGTCAAAAAGGAGACACGAGACTGCATGTGTCCCCTTTAAATCAGCCTTCCTCCATCCCATCAGCTGGAGCTCAGAGTCTCTGCAGCTCTGAACACATGATAACGAAATGTCAACAATAATGTTCTCTCCTCCAGGTCCAATCTTTCAGGATTCTTCATGCCTCCATATAAGGAACACTCACAGCCCGGATTAGTTGCTAAATCGAAGAATGATTTCCTAATTCAGATATGAACTTCTAAAACTTACAAACTAGATAATCATTAAATAAATGTTTGTTTATTGCTACTTATAATAATTATAATATAATGAAATATGTCATTAATCTGTGCTCAATGATTGAAGGTTGAAATGAATGTTATGTCATGATTACAGTGATTTAAATGTGTTTCAGCATGTTTATATGAAGAGGTCATCACCACTCGCACTCACACAAGAACAAAGAAAGGTTAAGTTAAACTCATGACTCATAAATAATCTTTTACCCAGATCAGAGCATCCGGTATCAAAGAAGGCGTGTTTCTGAGATTCTTAGTAATATTCCTCAAACTTGTCAACCTCTGGTTGGCTACACAATCATAACATGAGAACATTAAAACCGGATCACTCTGGTGATTCATCAGTTCTAGAGAAAGCTTCAGACTGGCCATCTGAAGCAAAACCCTCTTTAACTCATCAAAGCTTTGACACGTCGTCAGTAGCGGTTTTACCATTAGGCATAGGTCGGCAGCCGCCTGGGCCCCCCTTGTGTTGCGGGGGCCCCTAGCCCTGACCGCCGGCACCCCTCTGTTAATGCCACAATATTCTTATCACCAACCTGGCGCCGCCGACGGGATTGGCCATGCGCACTTCTCATTACCATAAAACCATTCAAGATATCATTAAAATTCTTAAAGTGTTGAAAAGATTAAAAATGGGGCTTTTTGTGCATATACAATACATTACGGTAGCCCCGGGATTCCCCGTCTTGAGCACAACGAATCACAACACAGATTCAGAGACGTGCTGAGTTTGTCATCCAAAATGCTCCGTTTTATAACTTTTGAATGGCTGATCAGGTTCAAAAAATTCCAACTGTTCCTAAAAGTACAAAATAGCAGCTTTCCAACGATCTATCGACCCTTTGCACGTGACGTCACGCCACTCATGTGACCGCCCCCTTCCCCATGATGGACGGCAAAAAGACCGTTTACACCTGTAGAAACTCAAGTGAAGCTAGTCAAAACAAGCCAGTTTGTAGCTTTTTATGGCTTTTATTGAGTTGATTTGACAGTAAAATGGGTTTAGCTTGCTGCGTGGTCGGCTGCACTAACAGACGAGGATGTAAACTCAACTCGTTTTGTTTTTTAATAACTCTGATGGAGACTGAGGACGGAGATGAACTGCAGCCATCAATCAAGCGGACTAGCAGCCCTCAGATTTGCAGCGAGCATGTTTTTACTGGGTAAGATTAACGTTCATTTATTTCACGAGGAAGACAGGGACAGGGAAAAATGTGATGTGTTTATACTAGTTATTGATAATCCTGATGGACGGGTATTTCACCACGGAGGCTGCGCTCCATCCACTGTAGTGTAAAGCGGGACAATTATTAACAATATTAAAGCTCCGGTGTACGATTACGTGTGTTAAAATTACGTTATTTATTTATATGAGCGTCTGCATTCAGAGAGCTTCTCATTCCGGTGTGAGAGCAGCAGCTGAACCCGGTAACACCACCAACAGAAGCTGGTAGGGATCCGGACTTTTTAACAATCAGCTTTGGTGTGAAGTGAAATGCTGTTTATAACATAAAGTTATAAATCCAGAGGGGTGAGTTTAGGCTAAGTCAGCAACGTGTTTACATCGCGACAGCTGCAGAGAGAACGTAAGCTAACGCTGGTAAGCTAGTTAGCATACCGCTCTCTATGAGCCCCGCTAGATGCACTACGTCTTCTGGTAACTGAACTGGGCATGAACTAGTGGAAGGAATGCTGGAGGAGTTTTGTTTTTGTTTTGATCGCAAAAACAATTTCAGGCTCTACTTTTCTCTTTGTTTAGTACTCGTGTCGCTCACTGTTTACATGCTTATGCCGTCCAGCATGGTGGACCCACGTGATTAGGTGACGTTGGTGCAAAGGGTCAATAGCCTGAAGCAATCAGAGTTATGGAAAATATCGCTACGAGGGGAAATCCTGCTGTACAGCCTGATTGAAACGGAGCGCAGCGCCGCGGTGAAAGCGGATAACGGAACGGGGAAGCTAATTAGAATAAAAAGCCAGCATGAAATTATGGAAATGCCTCAAAGAAAATCAACACAATCTATTAGGTGTCCCAGAAGGCTTATAGCTATCTGAAGACTGACCACGAAGAAGGACAGATCTCCGATGAACCAGAGTATGAATGTTTGTTCACACTTTATTTTTTTATTTGAACACCCTCAACTATTTGCTAATTGTAAGATTCAGCTTCATTCCAGCATTATTTATCTTTTTACAATAAATAATTATTTTTTCTAAAACAAAAGTTTTTGGTGTAGCAGTGCACGGTGTGCAAGAGAAGCACCCCATGGCGGTGTGAGGTGTGCAGGACTCTGCCTGCAGCTGGAGAGAAACTGCTGGTCCTCCCACTACTCCTGCAGCTACTGCTGGTCCTCCAGCTGCTCATGTAGCTGCAGCTAGTCTTTTGCTGAGGACGAATTGGCATTGTTGATAGACTGACCAGAAAGAATTTCTGTGCCTAGTACCCATCCTAACTTGGACTGTGCCCTAAGGCAGCGAGTAGAGGATCAGTTTGACCCTCTAAGAGGTCCCAGCAGAGACGATGAGATATTAATTCTTAATGACCTGATATCTTTTTGGAGGCTGCAACATGGGAGGTACATGTTGATTAAAAGTATTTAAACAATTGAAAAGACTTTGTTTTATAGATTTTGGTATTTGAAGTTAAAAGAGGTAACTTTTTTAGTCTCTGTGGGGACAGTGATATTCATCTATTTGCAAGCATTTACCAGTTTATCTCATTGTTCTACATCACTATTAATAGGCATTTCTTTCAGTAAGTTAACTTGCTCATTGAAAAAACACAAAGCTGCCTAATCAGAACTGGTGATTATTGAATGAATCTTTGTTAAATAAAAGCAAGTGCTCATCTTGGAATTTTGAGAATCATTTGTTACTGCAGATTCATGTTGCTTTCTAATTAAATATCAACATATAAGTTGGCAAATCAGTATAGCAAGACTTCATTCATTGGCACAAAAGATGGATGCCATCAAGGAGAGAGTGGACGAATCAGCACAAATTGGGATAGATTAATGTCCATTATTGGGATTTTGAGAGGTTGAGGACCAACAAACTGAAAGACAGAGAGGAAATGATCTCTGTCTGGCCCCAAAACAATTTCTAATCGGAATCTGGCGCCCTTGAGCCTGCAAGGCTCCAACGAAAACTCCCCCCTCAGAAGATATGTGGAATGTGCCGTTGCTATGGCAACTCAACTCTGTCTCCTTTCCCAGCCTGGGCGGGACTGCGGGAAGGCCGCTGAAACGTTCCAGGGTCACTGCAACCCTCCAACCCTCAATGCTCCTGCCCCTATCCACACTGAAGTGACATGTGCTGCTTATCGTGGCTGCAGGAACTGAAGTGGGGATAGTCCCAACCCACCACCCCACCTAGTGGACACTTATGTTGTGTTGTCTGAAGTCTGTTGCATATCTGTCTGAGGTGGGGTTTTTTTTTTGCAGAGCCTGATGGAGGGTAACTCTGAAGTGCCTTTTTTCCCTCCACCTGAACCAATCCTCATGTTACCCTCTGACCTCTATTAAGGTAGCGCGACTCAGGGTTGTGAATGACCACAGTCACCAATTCTTGTCATGTGTCTTGCCCATGTATGTCTGATCTCTGAATTGTGTGTACTGAAACTCTAATTTCCCTCTGGGATTAATAAAGTATCTTTGAATTGAATTGAATTGAATTCAAGTGCTTCTGTACTGTAGTGGGCACAATGGGATTAATAAAGTATTGATTGATTGATGAACAACAGAGACTTTTTTCAAGAAGGTTGAAAATCGTTTCGGGATCATGAAGAAACTTGTAGAGCATCGTGTCTTGGTAAAGCTGCCATAAAATAGCCAAAATTAAGTTTTTATCGGCAGAATTTATGTACATAATAAATCTGCATATTTTGCAGATAAATCTAATTGACAATAGAATTACATTCCATTCAGTGGGCAAATCTTCCCATTGAGAGATTAGCAAATTACAGTTTAAGGAAGAAAGGAACTCTACAACAAGCAGAGATGTTTCATATACAGTGGTCCTGAGTCGGGGAACTTTCTGGAGTAGCTGGTCTGAAGATCTGACATCTCTGGGTGGAGCGTGGTGATGGAGAAGACAGAAAAAGACCTTCGGGAGCTTCTGCAAGACATACACCATAACAATAGTTAAAAAACAGTTAGTCAAAGTAAATCAGTACAGACATCTGTTGAGAGAAGATAAACTAGAGGCAGCCGACGGATGAGCTGGAGAAGAATGGAGTTGTGAACTGATAACTGGTTTTCTATCTGGACTCACTATGAAAGAGGACAGACGTGTGACGCCATCTAATGGCCACATGCTGTTAACTAATCATCAGGTCTGGCTCGGTGCGTTTCTGTCCTTTTCTACAGGTACTGGTCGTAAAATCAGAATATCATGACAAAGTATATTTATGACAGTATTCCATTCAGAAAGTGAAACTTGTATGTTGGATTCATTCATTATACACAGACACGGACATTTCAAATGTTTAATTATTTCCATTTTGATGATTATAACTGACAACTAATGAAAGTCCAAAAGTCAATATCTGTAAAAATTAGAACATCGATTAAGACCAATGCAAAGAAAAAAAGGATTTTTAGAAATGTTGGCCAACTGAGAAATATGAGCATGTACAGCACTCAGTATTTGGTTGGAGTTCCTTAGGCCTGGATTACTACAGGGATGGCATGGTCCTAAAACCAGCTACTGGACTGGATTATAGACAGTCGTGTCAAGTGCTGTACACGAGCGGGTCGTTTCAAGTTTGTAAATGATCACATTTGTATGCATGTTGGGGATCCTTGCTCGTCTTGGACACAGCCAAGGGGGTCCCAGCAGAGAGAATGTGTTATCCGTGCTTTGTGACCTTATATCTGTTTTGGAGGATGCAACACATGAATAATCTTGACTGAATGGGCTTAAAACACATTAAACACCATTAAAAGGGTTTAAATGATTGAAAAGTCGGGGTTGTTTTTATTGAATTTTGGTTTTGAATTTTTCACGAGGATACTTTTTGGAGTGTCTGCAGGCACCAACGATCATTATCTACTTGACAACATTTACTCAAACATGTAAAGAACATGTGAAAGGGTTCAGTAACAAGATGATCAGCAAGATCACATGGCCGTAGAATGGTCATTTAGCATGAGCTGTGAGCTTTTGCTGAACTCGGCGCTCTGGCAGGACTGACTAAAACAGGAAGTGAGTTCACTTTTAATGAAATGGTCATTTATAAACTTTGACCAATCAGATCTGATAAATGAGTGTAGGTGTTCACCAAGACCCTCAGGCACTCCCCTTTCTGTGATGCTTAGAAAGCTTATTTCACTTAATATATGGAGTAAGTCTGTTAAACATTCATTTGTTAATACACTGATGTTATTATGTGAACGTAACTGATAATTAATTGATCATTAAATCACTTTAGGTGGAACATTCATGGTAGATGACACCATGGAGGTGACCAAGGGCTTGATTTTTCCACATTGGCACCGCATCAGAAGGCGGTGGTCACTAACCTAGGGGTAAAGTTGGACGCAGAGCTCAGATTTGAGGCTCAAGTGAACGGAATCGTGCGATCTCGCTTCTTTCATCCACGCCGCAGCGAACATTAAGTCATGTCTGTCACGTAGTCATTTGGAAACTGTGATCCGTGCCTTTGTTACCTGCAGGCTGGATTATTGCAACTCACTATATGCGGGGCTTAGGCAAGCTCCACTAGCACGCCTCCAGGCGGTTCAGAACTCGGCTGCTCGGTTGTTAACATCTACCAGGAGGTCTGAACATATAACACCAGTCCTACGTGACTTGCATTGGCTCCCTGTCTCCTATCGCATCAGGTTTAAGGTCATCCTGGTTGTGTTTAAGGCTTTAAACTCAGGGGCACCTAAATACCTTTCTGACATCATCCACCGACATGTCCCGGTGCGTTCCCTTAGGTCAGCTGACCAGAGACTACTAACCGTGCCCAGGTACAGCCTGAAGTCTCGTGGGAGACGTACCTTTTCAGTGCTCGGACCAAGTCTTTGGAATGAGCTACCAGCCGACGTAAAGCAGGCCAAATCACTGGAGACCTTTAAAAGCCGACTAGAAACACATCTGTTCTCGCTGGCGTTTGGACATTGAAGTTGGGATTGCGTGGGCAGCGTCGCTTTGAATGTGTCTGGATGTGATTCTGGAAACAGGACTGATACGGATTGTGAACTTGTACTCGAGATTTCTTATCCTATTTTAAATGGTTATAGGTCTGTTTTATTGTTGTGCTTGTTATTGGTGTACAGCGCTTTGTTTGTCCGTTTTGGGCATGTGAAAGCGCTTTATAAATAAAGTTGATTTGATTTGATAACACAGAATATGATTGAAAACCTGTAGATTGAAAAATCCTTTTATAAGGAGTAAAAGTCTCTTCTTCTGCATGGACCTTGGAGTTGCAGCTCAGATAAGGGAGTCAGGAGGAGGAATTTATTGAGGCTACTTTCTGGATGTGCTGCCAGGGTTGGTTAAGCCTGGAATTGTTTTGATACAGCGAAGAAAACAACATTCCTATCAGAGGTAGCTGCTGGACACCCGATGGTCTATTTGACCTCTGACATTGCTGTGGTCAATAACCGTCTTGGCCGTTCCCAACGTTACAACCATATAAAGCCCCGTGGCCTCTGCGCTCCACTGGCAGCGGTCTCCTGGTTATCGCTGAAGTCTGGACACATGATCGTGGCGAGGCGTCTTTCCAGTTTTATGGCCCTCGCCTCTGGAACAGGCTGCTGGAGGGCCCCGGGGCCGCAGAGAGAAACGTCCATGTATTAGGAGCGGGCTCAAGACTCACCTTTTTAGCTTAGCTTTTATTTATTATGGTAGATTACTTGCTTTGCATGCGTATTTTAATTGATAACATTTTACCACAGTTTTATTGCACATCTTTATTATTGTAATATCCATTACATTTAAATTAATTAGTTACTTACTTACATTTACTATTATGTTATCTACAGTTATTTTTATATTTCAACTTATATTAAACTTTCTTCCAGTGGTTCCTCCGTGGGGGCCCTCTGCCTCGGGGGCAGTGGTAAACTGTTGATACCTGGGTACTCTCCGGGTAGTGCTTGGGTGGAGGTGGGGCCTATGCCCTCCCTCCCCTTGTCACTCAGTGTTGGTACCTCAGCTGCTGTGGTTGGCCTGCTGCTGCCGGGGCAGAAGGCTCCCGTGATGGCATTTCCTTGCCCTACCATATTTGGATCACCTGAACCCAGTTCTATATAATTTTTAATGATGTTCTTAAACAAATGTGTGTACAGGAGTTGGGGGGGTATGGTACAACTGTGCCAAATGCTTTTAATTGGTGTGGGAGGGATAAGAACGAGGGTTATGTAGAGTCATTTGAATCTGTAAAGCACTGTGTTGCATTATTTTGTAGGGGAAACTCTTTATAAATAAAGTTTGATTGGTGGGTTATAAATATCATTTGGTTTTAATTAAACTGCTAAATTGTCCCGGTGCGTCTTTTGAACATATAGCATTAGTAAATTGTGGGTAATCAGAATGCCCACTGGCATTATTGGGTTGGGAAATAAAAATTCCTCCGTTAAGTTATTTTATTTCCTGTGCTTGCCACACAGAGCTGGTGCTGTCCAGTCCTCATACCTGAGACACTGTTTGATGTTTGCTATTGTGATGTTTACTGGACTTTGTTCAAGAAGATTAGTGTGGTTTGGTCTCAAAAACATCACGTCAACCGCGCGCGTGTGTGTGTGTGTGTGTGTGTATGTGTGTGTGTGTGTGTGTGTGTATGAGGAAGCCTGGGCGTTGACTCAGATTTTTTATTTAATATGTTTTCTTTTAACGATGGGATCTGAATTATTCCTTTCTGCAAATAATTCCTTTAACCAGCTGGATTAAATTATAGGAACGGACATCAAGATTTTATCAGATGTTTTTTACTCTATCTTTAATTTTAGGTTTTTATATTTAGTTTCAGTCGTACCCCCCCCCCCCCCCCCCGACTGAAACATGTTTTTTTTTTGGGGGGGGGGGGGGGTTCCCCCAGTCTGAGTTAATGAATAACAGAAACCAGTAAACGCTGCAGACTCTGGAACTCATGGGAGCAAGCGGGACATTCCTCTGCTGTGATGCGTTCAAGGACCTGTTTGTTAAACACAGCACGCTGAAAATCAGATTTTACTGAATTAGGAAATAAATGTGTTTAAGGAAAACTGAAGAAACATCAAAGGAAAAATTGGAAGTTGATCAGTGGTGGGGGTTATTTTATAAAAACTAAAGAATTTCCACTGATGGTGAAATGACAAAAGCTAACAGAACACCTGATAAAATTGTTAAAACTCACAGCTTGTCAGTGTCTAGCGGAAAATCATAGAAATGTACTTTTTCCCAACAGAAACATGTAATTGTTCCATTTTCAGAGTAGGACCTGAAAGCAGCTGGGTCAAGGGGTGGGGAAAGAGGAAGATGACACCAACAGTCTCAAGGCAACAGTCTCTTCCTGTTTTTGCTGCCAGCAGCTGAACTCTTAATTCTGTCTCTCTCTCTAGACCTAGTTCTTGGTTCTGGTTCTCTTCTGGTGCTGAGAAAGAATCTCTATCTTCATCTTTAGGTAAGAAACAAACTTCCAGATATTTTAGTTTAGTTTATGTTCTGCCCAACCAGACAAACTGCTGCTTGACTCTAGAAACCCTCTGTGTTCTGACAGGATTTCATCACTTCTGGTCTCTTGACCGGTTCCATCAGACCTTCATGATGAGCATGTCTCAGACTATGGAGACAGAGGAGGACCTGCTGACATGTCTCCACATAAAGTTCTACCACCCTCTGCAGATCTCTAAAGACCTTTATGGTTTACTCCCAGTGGGGACCAGGAGGAGACACTCAGCGGATGATCCAGTCAGACTGGGCCGGGACACCCAGTCCTGCTCCTACTCCCTGGTTGACCCGCGGGTGTCCCGCAAACAGCTGGCCCTTATCGCCTACCGTCTGCCCCAGAACCCAGACCTGCTGTTCTCCATCCAGAACCTGAGCCAGAGAGGGAGACTTTGTGTGAACAGCTCAGCTCTGGGATTCCTGGAGAGGATGGATCTCCCCGACAAGGCTCTGATCCGGTTTGGGGAATACGAGATGCTGATCCTGCGTGAGTCTGGGGAGGCCAAAGCCAGCTTTGAGGTGGACTTTGATGTGCTGGCGGTGCCTCCATCCAGAGAGACGTGCAGCTGTGGTCCTGTTTCCACACCAGTGATGGACACGGGTTTAATGAACCACATCACAGCTGAGATCAGAGGACTTGGACCCCAAGAGACCGATGAGACCCTGATCTGTCACTCATAACAAAGAATAACTTCTACAGTTTCATTCCAAAACTGAACTTGAGGACAGAAACGTGTGTATTTTCGTTCCATTTAGGTTCAGACAAGCTGACATCTATCTTCTGTCATGGCTGCATCAAGCAAAAAATCTGCGTCTTGTTTTCCTAACAGTTTCTCTTCGTACCGACTGACATTTTAGATAGTTTTCAATAAAAAAGCCTGCAGATATTGTCTCACTGCATCTGGACACGACGATTCACAAGTAAAATTAATTGGTTATAGTTATGAGATACTGTATTGTGTACGTAAACAGCTAGCGAGGGTCCGTCCGTGGACCGTGTGTGGCAGGAGAGGCAGTTAGCTAAAATTGTAATGCAAAAAGTTCCTTTGCCAAATTTATAAAGTCTACATACCTCTGCTTTGGGCCCGTTTTTTTTTCTTCCTCCTTCCTTCGCTTTCGGAATGCTGATCCCGATGGCTTAAGCCTGGTTTATGCTTCTCCGTCAGCTCCGCAAGGGACAGACACGCACGGATTGACGGAAGCGTTTAGCTCTCATACTTCTCCGTCTCCTGGAGAGTGTTGCAAAGCAATTCCCCGGCAGGACACCAGAGGGCGTAGCGCTGTTCTGTGGTATCCTGTCATGTATCGGTCCAAGATCGTGTTTATATTGTGTTTTTTGTGTATATAAGAGACTTTTAACACGGACATATTTGTCTCTCATTCTCCCACCTCTTCATGCGCTCCCCACCTCTAAACCCACGTTTCCTGTCATTTCCGTCCACAAATAAAACGCTTGCTGCGCATCTTTTCACTCCTCCAGTCACGGGAGAATTAAATGTTCATATTTTTAGAGTTTTTTCGCGAGGTATTCTTCAAGCTTCTCTGTGTCTGCCGCTAGTTATCCTCGGCCCTCTTTGCAATGGCGGCGCTGTAAACAACAGCGGCGTCCTGACCAATCACAAGCTTGCGTAATCCGTCTCGTTCGGCGGATGTAAAGTGGGCTCGACTCCGTACGTACTTGCGTGCCTGCCGGAGCCCTACGCAAGGACGGATAATGGCGTTGCGTGTCTCCGCACTGACGCAGACGGAGAAGCATAAACCAGGCTTTAGGTGTTCTTTTCATTGTAAAATATCAAAAGTTTAAACGCGACGACAACAGGATGTCCTTCTACAGTGCTGCCCACGCACGTGATGTACGGCACCCTTAACGGTCAAATGCATTGGAGCGGTGGCCCAAGCGGGAGCTCGTCATGCAGCCAGATCATTAGAATTTAAATATTGATTTTTAATTTCATGTCATTTCAGAGAGGAATTTTGAGTATGTAGAGAGTGCATTTCATATAACAAACATAAATTTAATAAACTTTTTTTTTTTTTTTTTTTTATTCTTTGTTTTTTTTTTGTTGTAATTTTGCTCCCTATCCATCAGATGGCGCCCCAGGCGGCCGCCTGTCTGCAAAGCCGGCCCTGGCGAGCAGAATCGAAAATTCTCGCCTGATGAGAGCAAAACGGAAGTCATAATACTTAGTCCTGGCAGAAGAAATGGCTCAGGTGCTGATATTGACCTTGGCCCATTGACCCCCTCTGAAAAGAAAATAGTAATTTGGGGATAAAAATTGACTCCTCACTTAATCTTGACACTCACGTAAATACAGTGGTGAGGTCCTGTTTTTTTTAACCTGAAACGACTATCCAGGATCAGGCCTCTGCTGTCCAGAGCTCATCTGGAGTCTGTGTTGCATGCTTTCGTCCTGTCCCGGCTGGACTACTGTAACGCTCTGTATGCCGGTCTGGCCCAGTGCACAGTTGCACGGCTCCAATTTGTACAGAACTCAGTGGCTAGGTTCCTGACCGGTACTAGATGCCGAGATCACATTACTCCAGTGCTGACCACTCTGCACTGGCTCCCGGTGCAATATCGAGCTAAATTTAAGATCTTAACTCTTGTTTATAAGGCCCTCCAGGGCAGTGCCCCCTCTTACATTACTGCACTTTTGCACAAGTATGCTCCATCTCGGTCTCTTCGCTCAGTCGAGCAGGGACGTGTGGTGGTCCCCCGGTCGAAATATCGATCGAGGGGTTATCGTGCATTTTCTGTTTTGGCTCCAACTCTGTTGGAATGAATTGCCATTGAGCATTAGGCAGGCGCTGTCCCTTCAAGTCTTTGAGTCTCGCCTAAAGACTCATTTCTACTTGATAGCTTTTCAGCGCTAGGGTTCATTGAATTGCCCTGACATTATGGTTTTTAATACTTCTTCTTTTTGACCAGGATGCTTGATCTTATTTTGTTCACCATTTGCTTTTCATTGAATAGTCTCATTCCGTTACCTCTCTGTATTTGTAATACTACTTGCTTGTTATTTTATGATTTTATGTTTTTATCTTGCTCTTATGCCCAGGTACTGGGAATGTTTTTATGATGATGCTGTTCAGCACCTTGGGCGTCTGATAACGTTGTGGAAGGTGCTCTACAAATAAAATTGATTGATTGATTGAACAAAGGCGCAGCGGATAGCGCGCAAACCTTGTGAGCAATCCGCTTTGCGGCGCTTCGAATCTGATGTAATCCTGTCTTTTGCACTTGAACCTCACCTTTAAAAAATGACAACGTGGGCTCGTTGATGATAAGTTTGTTTAGTATTCAGTAAACCTTAAATGCTTGTCTGTAAGAACAAATATGACTGAAACTTAGAAGTCCGTTAAGCAAAAAAGAACAATCACAACCGTAACAAAGCAGAACTTTTATTATATGGAGGTAATTTATGAAGAAATTGAGTCCATGTTACATTTTACTCATGCAAATCAGAATACAGCAGCATAATGTACTGTCTACAGAATAAACATCTAAAATAATTTAAAACAAATAAATAAACAAATCAAAGTCCTGTTCTTGTAAATCTACTGGCTGATTTCTCCAAACCTCATAAGGCTGGAAATACACTTGCTGTTTGCCGACAGGTACTCGTGTTTAAAACGGCTGCTTCGCATAAATTACACTGATGTGAAGCGTCATTTGTGCGCGTACCTCGAAGTTAATGTGACGCATTTAGGCAGAGTTGACAAAACGAGGGTTTTGGTCACTCCATCTCATGTTTAGTGGTCTTTTGTACTATGTACAATACCTCTGCTGTCATCTCAAAATTAAGCAGTTGCTGATCTCTTCTACTGATGCCATGTTTGTTTTGGTTGTACCCCCTATACCCGACTCTCTAACGAGTCTATCGTACTCTACTGTGCCCCCTAGCGGAATTGTCCAGTTCTCCAACGCAGTGCAGTGTCGTGCTGAAGCAAGTATGTGAACGAAGATGCAGCCCGCTGTCTGCGCCAATCAGAGGTTAAAAAGCAAGTATATTCCAGCCCTTAGAATGGATCTGAATACTGATGGCTGAACTCACTTCACAGATGGGTGACAACAGAAAAACAATCATCATGCTGATTTGTGCTACAAGTAAACCTGTTTCCATTTCAAGTCTCGGGGATGCAGGACGATCATATTCTAGAATGTGTTTATTCAAAAAACACACCATGATTATGCCACAGATGTAGAAATATACTTGTTCTTGACAGTTGAATGTCAACAGTGGGAGTACATTAATATGGTTTTCAATAAGCATATTTGAATCTTCGGCTGCATAAGTTGGTGGAGTTTAGATGATTAATTAGTGACTAAATATCCACCAGGGTCTTTATGGACCTGCTGGTAACAAAAGGTTGAAAATAGCGAGGACATCTCACTCAGATCGTCCTGTATTTATTTTCAATAGTTATAAGACAGAATGTGGACCAAAGCCTCTGACAAGTTAGGGATTTAGCTTGTCCACTCCTTTACAATAAACATGTACATTGGATCCTTCTGGTTGTTTTGGGAGAGGTTAAGATTTTCATTAGATGTAGGGGTCAATTAGCTAAGAAATCTAGAAAGACTATAGCAGAAACAAAGGGATTTTTCTCAGTAGGTTGGTCTGGCCACACTCCATAGCAGCAGACCTGATTATTTTTGTGTCTTGGAGCGCCATATTGGTTTTGTGAGCCATTCACAGTGCCATAACGGTTTGGTGGGGAAAATGTTGCTGCAACGGGGCGAAACAACAAAGATGGCGGCGTCTTTTTAAAACAGCTTGAGCATCAACTTTGGACTATTTAGACTTGATCTCTCGATTTACCGGTCAATCTATGTTCCAACCATCACCTATGGTCACGAGCTTTGGGTAGTGACCAAATGAATGAGATCGTGGATATAATCGACTAAAATGAGTTTTCTCCACAGGGTGTCTGGTCTCCCCCTGACCCCGGTTTCACACTGGAGGCATCAGAATCAGCTAAAGAAACGACAGCGGAATGTTTTACTTGAATTTTCAAAGAGGACCTTTTCACACCAGGCGTCTTGGCAGCGGCACGGACTCCTGGCTGTGCTCCTTGCTTGACTTGCGTGATCACTAAATCCCTTGAGACTTCTGCCATTCCTCCTTGCTTGCTTCGTGAGATCACAAGATCCCTCAAGACTTCAAAGGTCACTGTTTGTTTATGCAATCCACCATTAAACGAAAAAGAAGGAAATCACTTTTGATATTGCTGTTTGATGTCGTATATGATGTTGTTCCTCTCCACTGCCAGGATTAAAGTAGTAAAAACACACCGCTGCACTTCTGGAACCACGCTGGGAGTAAACAGGTCGTTAGGTCACTTGTATTGATGTAATTTACATAGATATAAAATTGCATCACTGCAATGGACTACTATTTAGAAAATTACAGGGAGGTTTTACACTGAAACCGTGTGTGATTTCATGTCTAGCTCCGTTAACTGCAGAAATTGTCACGTCCTAGAAGCAGTTTGCAGCACAAAGAGAACCTGATCCTATTTTTATGTTAATTTGTACCCCTGCTGTTAAGTAGTTCATGTTAACTTCCTACACTGACGTAGATCATAACGATGATGGCAGGAGTCAAGCACCTGCCCCATAACCAGAGGACTGCAGGTTCGAATTCCACCTGTCATGGTCATTGCGTCCTTGGGTAAGACGCTTCACCCTCCTTGCCTGCCAGTGGTGATCGGTGGGATGGGTGGTGCCTATGTATGGCAGCTTTTCATTTGTTAGTGAGGCCCAGGGCATGGCTATTGGAAAAGTAGGATGTCCAAGGAAGGTCCCACTTTTCTCACCTTTGATTGGCTAAAAGGGCTCTCCTACGATTGGCCATTGCACTTAGCAGCAAGCCATTGTGTCACAAATAGATAAGCTGACTTAAATTTTTGAAGAAAATGTGAACTTAGTGCTATAATAACCATTTTGTCCTTTTTTGCAGCATACAGGTTTTAAGTTTTTTTCCCCATAAAATACGAAAAACATAACATGTGAACACATAATAAATCTTGTTGCATTTGTCACTGTTGCACAGGCCCTTCTCAAAAAAAATTAGCATATTGTAATAAAGTTCATTATTTTCTGTAATGTACTGATAAACATTAGGCTTTCATATATAATAGATTCATTACACACAACTGAAGTAGTTCAAGCCTTTTATTGTTTCTAATATTGATGATTTTGGCGTACAGCTCATGAAAACCCAAAATTCCTATCTCAAAAAATTTGCATATCATGAAAAGCTTCTCTAAACGAGCTATTAACCTAATCATCTGAATCAACTAATTAACTCTAAACACCTGCAAAAGATTCCTGAGGCTTTTAAAAACTCCCAGCCTGGTTCATTACTCAAAACCACAATCATGGGTAATACTGACGACCTGACTGCTGTCCAGAAGGCCATCATTGACACCCTCAAGCAAGAGGGTAAGACACAGAAAGACATTTATGAACGACTAGGCTGTTCCCAGAGTGCTGTATCAAGGCACCTCAGTGGGAAGTCTGTGGGAAGGAAGAAGTGTGGCAGAAAACGCTGCACAACCAGAAGAGGTGACCGGACCCTGAGGAAGATTGTGGAGAAGGACCGATTCCAGACCTTGGGGGACCTGCAGAAGCAGTGGACTGAGTCTGGAGCAGAAACATCCAGAGCCACCGTGTACAGGAAATGGGCTACAGGTGCCGCATTCCCCAGGTCAAGCCACTTTTGAACCAGAAACAGCGGCAGAAGCGCCTGACCTGGGCTACAGAGAAGCAGCACTGGACTGTTGCTCAGTGGTCCAAATAGTGGCGGCTCCAGAAATTTTTTTCAGCAGGTTCTATGAAGGAGCCAGTCTTTTTATTGAGGGTGCTATGAAGGAAGTGGTCGTGTGTACCTATTGTTCTCTAAAACACCTTCAAAACTAGCAGATACACATGCGTGCACAACACCTGAAACCATCATTAATATACATCATAAACATATGAACAATCGCTGACTTGTCCATGAAATCATAAACACATACAGCCACACAGAAAACCATCTATAGTGTTGCAAGGTTAGCTAACGTTAGTGTTAGCATTTCCAGCGGCAAAACCCTGGACTGCTGCGGCGGTTGAGGGTTGACTCTCTTCATCCAGATCCGTAGGTTTTTGTGGGTCTGAGATCACTTTCAAACATTCATTCGTGTCTGACTGAACCCGTGGAAATGTGGGCAACAAACACTGATCCATTTTACCGCTAGCTCTACCTTTCACTCGTTCACAGGTGGAAAATGAGGTCAAAGGTTAACATCCATTTCCTGTTTTGGTTTAAGTTTTTACTATCTATATGATAATTTACTGAGTATTTTTGTTTTGTGTGTTAAATATTATCACATCCACACGTTAAATTAAAATTAATTGTAAAAAAGAAATAAAATAATATTTACGTGGGGGTGCTATGACTAATCCAGGGGTAGATATAGTGCCCCCCTGGCGCCGCCACTGGGTCCAAAGTACTTTTTTTGGATGAAAGCAAATTTTGCATGTCATTCGGAAATCAAGGTGCCAGAGTCTGGAGGAAGACTGGGCAGAGGGAAATGCCAACATGCCTGAAGTCCAGTGTCAAGTACCCACAGTCAGTGATGGTCTGGGGTGTCATGTCAGCTGCTGGTGTTGGTCCAGCTAGCTATCAGGAGATTTTAGAGCACATCATGCTTCCATCTACTGAAAAGCTTTATGGAGATGAAGATTTCATTTTTCAGCACGGCCTGACACCTGCTCACAGTGCCAAAACCACTGGTAAATGGTTTACTGACCATGGTATTACTGTGCTCAACTGACCTGCCAACTCTCCTGACCTGAACCCCGTAGAGAACCTGTGGGATATTGTGAAGAGAAAGTTGAGAGACGCAGGACCCAACACTCTGGATGAGCTTAAGGCCGCTATCGAAGCATCCTGGGCCTCCATAACACCTCAGCAGTGCCACAGGCTGATTGCCTCCATGCCACGCCGCACTGAAGCAGTCATTTCTGCAAAAGGATTCCCGACCAAGTATCGAGTGCATAACTGAACATAATTAATTGAAGGTTGACTTTTTTTGTATTAAAAACACTTTTCTTTTATTGGTCGGATGAAATATGCTAATTTTTTGAGATAGGAATTTTGGGTTTTCATGAGCTGTACGCCAAAATCATCAATATTAGAAACAATAAAAGGCTTGAACTACTTCAGTTGTGTGTAATGAATCTAATATATATGAAAGTCTAATGTTTATCAGTACATTACAGACAATAATGAACTTTATCACAATATGCTAATTTTTTTAGAAGGACTTGTATTGACTGAATCTGATGGCTCCAGTCCCCAGCATTGAGGTCAGCGTGTCTACTTTTAAGACTTTTTTTGGATAGACCTTACGGTTAAAATCTGATGTTAGCCCAAATCTGGACAAGTGGGGGAGTAGAGGGAGGTGGAGTGTACAGTCAGTAAAGACGACTCTCCCTTGCCCTGCCTCCATCTAAAAGGCTAGATTATCCAGAGTTATCTCTGTAGTTATGCTGCTATAGGCTTAGACTGCTGGAGGACACACTGGCCACTTTCCACACTCGACTACTTTCTTCTACCACTACTCTCTAATTTCCCTATTTTTGACACTTCAACTGTTAACTTTATTTTCTCTCTGAAGTGTTTTTCTCCCCAGAAGAAGCTGCACTGGTGTACTGCTGAGCTGTGGTGGCCTCATACAGGGGGCTGTCAGCTGGCACATTGCTGCCAACCACTTAACATTCTCCCTCTCCCGACATTAACATTTTGCTTTTGTTAACATTGAACATGCTACTACTAGTTTATGTTGAATTAGACGCATTCTAATAAAATAAAATATCTAATAAGAAATAATGTAGCCAAAGAAATACTACTTGGTATATTTTGTGTGTGGCTAAAGGTTGGTTTATGCTTGACGCGTGAGGTCCGCACAGCTCCACGCGGAAAAGTTGCGTCATTTTGCATCCTTTTAACAACCACGCCCCTCCACCGCGCCTCCGCACGGACCAAACTTTCCACACAGCGCACCTAGGAAATTTTCAAACCACGCGGACGGTCGGACGCAGAAAAACATGGCGGACCGGCAAGAACTAGTATGGCAGAGGTTGGTAAATACAGACATTTGTATGATTCAGCTCTCAGAGATCACCGTGATCAACATGTTGTTAATAATTCTTGGAGAGAAATAGCTCGCACTGTCGGAAAAGACGAGGACGCTGTTAAAAATGCTGGAATGCCATGTTGTAAACAGTAATTTCTACTTCTACTATGGTGTAGTGTTGGATGCATGCCGTAGAGCTCCATGCTGCCCCCTACAGTTTGGGAGAATATTGGCTCACCGCAGAGACGAGCCGCATGAACCATAAACGCTGCGAGTTGTGAAGCGCGTTCCATCCACGAGCCGCATCACCAAGCGGAAAGTGAACGCGTCAAGCATAAACCAAGCTTTATGGGGTGAGCATCTGCTCTGTCTTCTCCATCCCCAGTGAGTCATGGTGGATGGCTGCTTATACTGAGCCGGGATCCTCTGGAGGTTTCTTCCTGTTAACTCATTTACTGCCAATGACAACAAAAGTCGCCATTTGCATTTTTTTTACTGTGTGGGCGTCGGACGAGCCCCAGCAATGTAAGAACAAACATCTCGGCTCCAAAGCCGATCTTCATCCGCATACGTCACACATCACGTGATCAGGAAGCAGAACATCCATGTGTTAGATTGTTTTGGGCCGCTGCTGTAAAAAACAAGTGAGGCGCGAACCGGAAAAGCTTCTGCCGATCACAATTCAACAACGGATTACGAAAGAACGGATAAAGCTTGAAACGCGCTGACTCTTCCTGGCGTAGGAGGTGAGTCTCTTTGTTTTGGCGTCAACATCATCCAAGCGCGCAACGTTCTGTGACTCTTAAAAACAGTAAAAACGGTGAGGAACGCTGGCAGTGAATGAGTTAAAAGGGAGTTTTCCTCTCCACTGTTGCCGCATGCTTGCTTAGTAAGATAATTGCTGTAAAGACTCTGACACTAGTCAGTGACTCGATGCAACCTGCTGGGTTCCTTATATAGGAAACTTGTTACTGATTGGCTTAATGAACTCAACTGTATTAATGTTTACTGTGTTTAGGTCACTGAGATGACTCTTGTCATCTTATTAGGTTATATCTTAACTTTCATAAATGGTTAATGGCCTGTATTTGATATAGCGCCATCTAGCGTCCTGGAGCCAAGTGCTTTACAATGCAGTCATTCATTCATACACACATTCACACCTTGGTGGTGATCAGCTACATCATAGCCACAGCTGCCCTGAAGCACACGGACAGAAGCAATACTGCCATACACTGGTCCCTCTGAACACCACCAGCAGGTAAGGTGGGTTTCGTGTCTTGCCCAAGGACACGACAGCAACTTCCGGAGTGGGGGCTTGAACCTGGAACCTTCCGATTACAGAGCAAGCACTAGCCTGGAATAGGAACAGACCTGTAGCACACACCTGGGCAAAGTAGTAGTTTTATTATATTTCATGTATCAAGGTATCTGCAGGTTTAAGGTAGCCAGATTTAAGACTTTTTAAGACCTTTTTTTAAGGCCACTTTGACCAAATTTAAGCTATTTAAGCAGGGCAGCAGTAGCTCGACAGGTTGAGTGGGTAGTCCAGTAATCGGAAGGTTGCAGGTTCGATCCCGGCTCCGGACAGAGAATTCTGCTGTTGTGTCCTTGGGCATGACACGTAACCCACCTTACCTGCTGGTGGTAGTCGGAGGGACCGGTGGCACCTCCGTCAGTGCGCCCCAGGGCAGCTGTGGCTACATCGTAGCTCATCACCATCAGTGTGTGAATGGATGAACGATACACTGTAGTGTAAAGCACTTTGGAGTCCTTACTCTGAGAGGCGCTATACAAGTGCGGGTCATTTATCATTTTGATAATTAAATTTAAGCTTTAATTTTCAGCTATTGCCTGGAACCGGTGTTAACCGCGCCGCGATCGTGGGATTAGCCATCCAGTTACCATTAAACTTCCACTTCTCCATGGCGCACACTCCCACTAGCTTAACCAGCTAGCGTGCTCATCTAAAAATAGCTCCCTTTCACAACCAACTGCATGTGTACGGTTCCGCTTACGCCAACATCGTCCACAAAAACTGCTGAACACTAACTAGAAATTCACTAAAATCCTATAGAAATAAAAGAATCTTGTTTATTAGGTCTTTGGTAATTTAAGACCTCTGGAAACTGTATTTAAGGATTATTTGTCATTTTTAAGGATTTTTAAGGCCTTAAATTTGGAAAAGCTAATTCAAGACTTTTTAAGGACCCGCGGATACCCTGTGTATCTTGCACATAAGGCACACATTTGTTTAGCCTATGTATTCTACTTTAGTAAGACGACCTCAATGCTTGAAAGGCAACACGCTACGAGACCCATCTGCCGTTAGACTTGTGAACAGCTTATAAACACACAACCATGCTCGTCTTCTGTACTTGACATAACGTCACGTTATCGGCCATGTTACCATTACCTGTCTTTTTAATAGCAAAGTTTTATGCTAGTTTATTATATTTTATTCTACTTTTAATTATATTATTCATGTTATATGTAGCACGTTAGTACCGAAGCAAGTTCCTAGTTTGTGAATTGTTTGTTCACCGACAATGGCAATAAACCTTTTTCTGATTCTGACTCATTAATAGTTCCTAATGTTTTAGTTTCTAGAGCATGTTGCAGAAAATAATGATTACAGCATTTTCTTCACAAAGCTCTCTAGAACAGCTGTTCTGCTAGTGGCAGGACAGAGCCTTTAGCGAGGGAAGAGTTTGCTTGGTGGCAGGATGAAATGAAATAGCCAATCGTAAGAGAGTTCTTCTAGCCAATCAGAGGAGAGAAATGCAGGGCCTTCCTTAAGACATCCTACTTTTCCAATAGTCCCTCCCAGCTTTAATGGCTCGTTTTAACAGCAACAAATAAATGACAAGGATCACATCTGATCATGCATGCTAGTGATTTTCATCTAACAGAATCACAATCTAAAATTTTTATTGTTTAATATGATTGTTTTGGAACCCATCTGTGCAGTGGACCAGTCAGTTCAGACTACTAACCTAAATCTCTTTAAACTTGTTTTTTTTAATAACTAAACTCAACCTTTAAGCCACATTTTAACTGTAACACAAGTAAACTGTCAACAGATTGCGTCTGTACCAACCTCACCCTTGACTTACCTGCTCGCTGCGCAGGTCTCCATCAGCCTGTAGGTCACCCTTGTCATGAATGAAACACCTAAAAGGTCCTTTTTCAATCTCACACTTCAATGCGCTTTCATTTTTAAAAGGAGGGGGAATCGGCGGTGATTGCGACTGCCTGAATGTTTAGGAAGATTCTGGAATGATTCAGGTTTCCAACGGTTTTACAGTGGTGGGAGGATTGAAGCGCTGAGCAGTTTTACTCCATTTGTGAACAATCACTCCACAGATTAGTTTTATTGGACGTTTGACAAACATCGAAGACGCACTGCATCCATTTTCTAGTTGACAGCTACGTGCGTTAGTCTAACTCCTACATTTTATCAGCTTTATTTGCCACAGTCACGCTACAGAAGTTTGAGTTTAGAAAAAAACTTAATGATGGAACCAACGTGCATTTTACGTCAAAATCAAGTTTCGGCTTTATGATGCTAGTATCTAGCCTTCTAGAGTCACACACATCACTAAAAGTGACCAAAACGAAATAGTAGAAATAAAAGATGCCCAATTCAGACGTCAACCAATAAAAGTACAAAGTACAACAGCAATTATACACAAAAACAGTTAGGTGTAAAAATGTCCTAAATAAAAACAAATAAACCGACATCGTTGTCAAGAACGGTGTTCTTCTTGTGAGCGGCGCAGAGAAACGTAACGCGCTCAGCCAGACAGGAAGAGGATAGTCACGTGCATCAGGAGGCGGCGAGCGGCGACGGAGTCGGACAACAAGCCTGAAAAAAGAACAAATAAGACAAATAAGCTACTTGCATCTGGTGAAAGGGCACGTCGTTCCATCACTCATTTCGACTTTTTGTTTGACGTTGGGGCCCATTTCTCTCCCAGATAATCCGAGGAAGTGGACCATGCTTTGACGTGCGCTTTTGCACCATGACGCTTTCGTCTCCTTAACCCCATTTGCTCTAAAACACGTGCGAAAGTCGAGCTGCCTCTGCCATTAGAAGAACGAAAAGACATCTTATGAAGATCACTTTCTCTCAGATCTATTCTCACCTTCAAATGCCGACGTCTGGCTTAATAAGCGTAGCGTGTGGGCGGCGGAGGCAGCCGGTCAGCGTAGGGGTCTCTTGCACGTGGAACTCCATAAGCTGAACGCTCATAGGAGTAGCCATTACTAGCAGGAGGCATCGGTGTGCTAGGCGCCCTCCGGATGGGGCTGCGGTCTCGAGCGTAGTACGATGACGGAGGAGGAGGTGGTGGTGGTGGAAGGGGGCGACGCTCATACGGGTCAAGAGGCGAGGTCATAAGACGGTCTCTAACGACGGCTGGGGGTGGAGGCGGAGGAGGCGGGGCGCCAGAACGCTGGTCCTCATATGGGGGGATGCCATACGGACGGGCTCTATACTTCTCATAGTAATCTACCACACTGTATCTGACCCTCTCCCCTTCATAGGGACGCTCTGGATACAGAGCTCGTCTGGGGGGAGGGGGTGGCAAAGGAGGGGCGGGGTAACCTGGGGGCATAGGGCGGCCCCTCAAGTAGCCAGGTGGGGGAGGCTCATGCCGGTCTCCAGGGTAACGTGGAGGCCAGTAGCCGCCCCTATCTGGCGGGGGAGGAGGGTAGTCTTCAGGCTCTTCATATCTGGGACGACTCTTAGAAACTTGAACATGGATGCGTTTGTCTAGAAAGAAAGCAAATTTTAAATACAGACAAATCATTTTTGGTACCATTTGCATTTATTCACATATAATAGCCCTCCCTTACCTTGAAAAGCAGTGTTATCCAGACCCTTAAGAGCATCCATGGCCTCGTCATAGTTGGGCATGTGCACAAAAGCAAAGTTCTTCACAACGGCACACTCTGTGACCGTGCCGTACTCCTCAAACAGAGCACGAAGCTCGTCGTCACACCCCTTCTCTACGTTTGCTACATGCAGCTTGACTGAGCCCTGGTTCTTCCCATGGCTGGCCTCTACGTTGATGGGTGTACCATGGAGCTTGTGCAGGTGAAGATTCTTGATCGCTTTAGTAGCAGCCTTCCGATCCTCCATGTGGACAAAGGCAAAATTCTTGATGATGGCACATTCCGTGACCGTGCCATACTCTGCAAACAGCGCCTTGATTTCATCCTCTGTAGCTTCTCGGGGCAGATTCCCCACAAAAATTTTAACCATGGTTGAAAATCTGCAATAAAGAACCACAGAAGAAAGCACAAGTTGATTTTAAAATGTGTAGTCATGAATATTCAATTAAAAGGTATGCTCAGATCCTTAGAGCTATGCTTGGAACACCTATGAATGACTGGAGGCCAACTAAAACCGCTGAGAAAACGTTTATACACATGAATCAAACTTTACAAAAATATGAACTGTACAGGCTGCCAACTTTTCCAGAGCGGGTGTTGTGAAAGACACCGGCTCACCCGCCATCTGCTGGCCGTGAGAGCTGGGGGATGGGGGGGTGACTCTTCAGCGCGAGACCGATAAAACGATCTTTTATTTGGCGCGTAAGAGCGTGTGAAGAGGGTCGGATGCGTTTGTTTCAAGCTCAAAGCGCGAGAGTTGTCATCCCTGGCAATACAAGACAGCTCGGGGGAAAACGGAACGGATTCATTCGCATTTCGATCGCTAAACTAATCATGCCGGCCTGTATGTAGATTTAGTCAATTCAATTCAGCAAATCTTACCAAGTACAGTCAGACTGCGGAACCAAACTCTCAAACACGATTTAAAACTAGAGTTACGCCATAATAAAGCCAGTTTTTGATCTAAGATTTAAATAAATGCACTACCTCAAATCCTCATGGTGTGTGGTTTAGCTACATCTCCAGGCCGCGCTAGCCGAAACGCCGCGAAGGAATTAAGATACCAACCACAAGTCGATAAAGTCTTCATAAAAAGGCTGATAGGCTGATAATTATCGTGGATATGAATTCCTAATGCGTCTATGTTGCGTAAACGTTTATTTACCTCGTGTTCACGACGGAGCCTCCGAGAATGTGATTCGAATCCTTTCTGGAGAGTTCTCTGCGTGGACTTCCGGTTAGCGGCCTTCCGGTCACACAGCGCCACCCACAGGCCTGTTCTGCTTCCGCTTAAACGTGAACGTCTTCATTCCGCACTCGTATTCCAGTTCACAAAAACATTGTACAGATAAGATAAAAATTAAATGAGCGCAACAGCCAAATTATCATACCAACACAAACAAGAGACAGTAGTGTGAAAACAATATATGAATTATAGTAGAAGAAGAAGAAGAAAATATAATTTCTATAGCGCCTCTCAAGGTAAAAATCACGAGGTGCTTCAGAAAAACAAAAACAAAAATGTAAAAATATAAAAAAGGCATTTAGAAAATGTTTAAAAATATATTTAAAATGAGCAAAAATAAGCAATTAAGCAATTGCGATGGTCTCCTTTAAAAAGCAGCTGAAGACTCACTTGTTCAAGCTGGCTTTTGTATGACCTTCTTCACCTCTCTCTCTTTATTCTGCTCTCCCCACCTATTCCACCTTCCTCAGGATCCACTGATTTCCTTCTTTCCTGTTCACCCTCTCCCTTTCTTAACATTTTTTAATCACAATTGACTATTTCTTGCTCATTTTAAATATATTTCAATCATTTTCTAAATGCTTTTTTATATTTTTTGTTTTTGTGAAGTGCCTCGTGGTTTTTATCTCGAGAGGCGCCATAGAAATGCGAGTTTCTTCTTCCTCCTCTTGACAGCAGTAAGGCACTATCTTCACAGAATTGTTTCAGATGTTTGGTAAAGATGTCCATCAGTGATGTGGTGAGTATCATGCTGCATGCATGTCACCAATAGTACACACATTTAAAATCATATGATCTTTTATGGAACCATTAATAAAAGCAAGTCTATCAACCCTCTGGAGGCAGGCGTTGCAGATCTGCAACGTTAAAACCTACCTGGTTACTCCACAAACGTATTTCATGAGCATTTTTAAACTCAGAAGTACCCCTGAAGGACTTTTATCAAAACTTATTTTGAGCCTGAGAGGGTTAAGAAACTCAGCTTCGTTGTTAAGGCACTCAAACGGCATTTACAGAATCAGGATAACAAATTCCTTCTGGTTTTGTTTGGAGGTGCAGGGCTAGAGTACACCAATGAGTTACAACATCATCTGGTGTTCTGCCCCATATTATTCCATCTCAGTGGTTGACTCTCCAGTCCCATGAAAATAGGTATTAATGGAATTTAAACCTTTTAGATGCTGTTTCATTAAAAAGGTTTCCTACAAGCACAGAACATCACATCGATCCAGCAGCTGGTCCACAACAAGTCTGTGAGTCCTGTCAGCCTCAGACCACGGCAGTTGTAACAAATAACCTTTAAACTCATTTATCCAGAGTTAAGCTGCTGTATTCTGGGCTGCCTGGGACTCCATCATCAGACCACCAGGAACAGCGCTGCGGGGTCACCCCAAGGTCCCTCTTTAATTTATTCACCACCTGGTAAGATCCTGTGGTGAGTTTTATTAAATTCTCTTGGATCAAGAGAATAATTTTAAACTTTTTTTATTTTGTAAATAAAGTTCGAAGATTAGAACCACACCATCTTTGACCTTCTCGGGTGAATGGGCCTACAGGGTTAAGGGCTTAGCGACTCCTAGGGTGCCGTGCCCTAGGTGCCATTGTTGGGTTTTACTTAGTTTTCTCCATACTGTCACATCTGCACACAAGTCCCATCAGGCCACATCTGCACACATGTCCCCTCAGGCCACATCTGCACACAAGTCCCATCAGGCCACATCTGCACACACGTCCCCTCAGGCCATATCTGCACACACGTGCCCTCAGGCCACATCTGCACACACGTGCCCTCAGGCCATATCTGCACACACGTGCCCTCAGGCCACATCTGTACACAAGTCCCCTCAGGTCACATCTGTACACAAGTCCCCTCAGGTCACATCTGCACACAAGTCCCATCAGGCCACATCTGCACACACGTCCCCTCAGGCCATATCTGCACACACGTGCCCTCAGGCCATATCTGCACACACGTGCCCTCAGGCCACATCTGTACACAAGTCCCCTCAGGTCACATCTGTACACAAGTCCCCTCAGGTCACATCTGTACACAAGTCCCCTCAGGCCACATCTGTACACAAGTCCCCTCAGGCCACATCTGCACACACGTCCCCTCAGGCCATATCTGCACACACGTGCCCTCAGGCCACATCTGTACACAAGTCCCCTCAGGCCACATCTGCACACAAGTCCCATCAGGCCACATCTGTACACAAGTCCCCTCAGGCCACATCTGTACACAAGTCCCATCAGGCCATATCTGTACACAAGTCCCCTCAGGCCACATCTGCACACAAGTCCCATCAGGCCATATCTGCACGCAAGTCCCCTCAGGCCACATCTGTACACAAGTCCCATCAGGCCACATCTGCACACAAGTCCCCTCAGGCCACATCTGTACACAAGTCCCCTCAGGCCACATCTGCACACAAGTCCCCTCAGGCCACATCTGTACACAAGTCCCATCAGGCCACCTCTGCACACAAGTCCCATCAGGCCACATCTACACGCAAGTCCCCTCAGGCCACATCTGCACGCAAGTCCCCTCAGGCCACATCTGCACGCAAGACCCATCAGGCCACATCTGCACGCAAGTCCCCTCAGGCCACATCTGCACACAAGTCCCCTCAGGCCACATCTGTACACAAGTCCCCTCAGGCCACATCTGCACACACGTCCCCTCAGGCCATATCTGCACACACGTGCCCTCAGGCCACATCTGTACACAAGTCCCATCAGGCCACATCTGCACGCAAGTCCCCTCAGGCCACATCTGCACGCAAGTCCCCTCAGGCCACATCTGCACGCAAGTCCCATCAGGCCACATCTGTACACAAGTCCCCTCAGGCCACATCTGTACACAAGTCCCCTCAGGCCACATCTGTACACAAGTCCCCTCAGGCCACATCTGCACACAAGTCCCATCAGGCCACATCTGCACACAAGTCCCCTCAGGCCACATCTGTACACAAGTCCCATCAGGTCACATCTGTCCCCTCAGGCCACATCTGTACACAAGTCCCCTCAGGCCACATCTGTACACAAGTCCCCTCAGGCCACATCTGCACACAAGTCCCCTCAGGCCACATCTGTACACAAGACCCCTCAGGCCACATCTGTACACAAGTCCCATCAGGTCACATCTGTACACAAGACCCCTCAGGCCAAATCTGTACACAAGTCCCCTCAGGCCAGATCTCCGGGTTGTACATCTCACACACCCACAGCACTCAGCCGGCACTTTGAAAGAGGAGCGTCGGCTGTCTGCAGCGACTATTGGCACATAACCTCACAGTTCCACTTGTTTTGGACTATTTTATTTTAGCCAATGAAAATAAATAAATGGTCAAATTGTATCTAAATAATTATGAATTTTGAATGTTGTTATGACTTTGAAACTAATGATTTTTAATTCATTATGATAAATGTTGGACTTCTAAACATGGTTTTGAAGACTGTAATTTAACTCTTAAACTAAAAATTGTAACTTGTGTTAAATCATCAGGACTTTTATGACTTTCAAACATACAAATTTCATTTTGTATCTCCCAATTATGAAACACATTTAATGACAATCTTTATTCTTTTGGATAAACTTTAAAGGATGTACTTTTGTTCTCCTCCAGTCCAATAAACAAGCTACATGAAAACGTGCTTTTTTCCCTGAACTCCCATGAACCTTCAGAGACAGAGTAAAAGTAAAAGTCAATAAGTGACCGAAAATTCCCCGAAGGTTGACTTCAGAGGTGACGCAACCTCAGCTGAGTTCCTGTCAGCTGAGCTGAGGTTGCGTCAGAAAGGGGTTTTTGTTGTGCTGCATTCAGGGCCTACAGTTAAAACTCGGTTAAAAGATGCGCCGGCCTCGCACAATACACAAAACAATAGAATAAACTATAAAATCTGGTTCTATTTTGGTTTCGTTTGTAAGATTATGTAACTGGCAACACGAGTAAATCTAATAAGTATTCATTAAGTCAACATCAAGAATGCTGTAATCGTATTAAAGACTGAAACGATTGTTCCCAGAGTGCACATGAACGCAGCAGCGTTATCGTGAAGATCACATGTGAAGAAGAGTCTGGTTTACGAGCAGCAGGATCTCAGTTATTGTTGAGAGCTGGACTTTGCTGTGCTTTCGTGGACCGTTATTCCGGAAGTTTTTTTTAAACGCTGAACATTCAGGTAAAACTTGTCTTTTTGTTTTTGTTTGTATGACCAGAAAAACTGCTGCTTGACTCTAAAAACCCTCTGTGTTCTGACAGGATTTCATCGCTTCTGGTCTCTTGACCGGTTCCATCAGAC